TATATCCTATAATTAACCTTAATTTATTTAAGGAGGCTATTATTTAATATATAAACTTATATCTTATATATTAGAAGATTTATAATATCCTATAAGATAACTATAGCTATAATATTTACCTTTAAATACTATAATACTTTTTATAAATTAACTATATTTACTTATAAGTATAAATAAATAACTAAGATAAACTTACTAAATATATCTAAATATTATATTTTACTTAAAACCTTACTAACTTTAATATTTATAAGTAACTACTTAATAAAGGTTTCTAATTATTACTATTTTAAGTTAGCTTAATCTACTACTAGTAAAATATATACTAATAATAAGATATTATATATTAAGATATTATATAAGAATAGGTATAAGTATATCTCTAGAATAATTTTACTATTAAATAATATATAATTAATAATAGCTAAATATTCTTTATAGTATATATATATAAGGCTAGTATTAATATTAGCTATAATACTTTATATAAGGTTTATTATAAGGTATTTTTTAAAAACCTTTAGGATTATTAGAAATAGGTAAAAATACTATATATAGACTTTAAAACCTATAATCTTAATTAGATTTAGTCTATTAATAGTTATAAAAAGCTATAGCTATAAGGGTTTAAGATTTATATAGGAATTAATATATATTTATATTATATTACTTAGTTTTATATTAGTATTTCTATAATAACTTTATAGAGTATTATATAGTAATATATTACCCTATTAAATATATAAAAGATAATACCTACCTAATTATAATCTAATTATAATAATAAGACTACTATTATTACTAAGCTATACTAGTTTCTCTTTTAAAATAATATATTAGTATAATACTAAACTTATAATAATACTAATAAGTTATAATACTCTTAGAAGCTATAAGGAATATCCTAGGAGCTTATATTTATAAAAATATAGTTATATAGCTAAAGTATTTATAATATATATATTAAAGAATAATAGTGCTTCCTAAGTATTCCTATTAAATACTAGTAAGTAAATAATTATTAATAACTATAGATATATATACTAATATAACTATTTAGATATATTTCTTTATACTTAATAACTATAGCTTATTCTTTACTAATAATCTTATAAATAAGATTATTATTCTTTATTTATATATATTATTAATTTAAAAAGACTTTTATACTTTTATATATAAATAGAATATCTATTATATATATATATAAGAAGGTAAAATTACTAGTTAACTAAATATTTTATATTATAACCTTAACTATAATACTAAGCTAAATTATAAATTCCTATTACTTATTAATAATATAGAAGTATTAAACTCTATCTTTAAGATATTAAATAATACTATTAATATATACCTACTATAAGTTATATACTAGATCTATAATAGGATTATTTAGTATAAGTTTAATAGTCTATTAAAAGTAGGTAACCTAGAAATACCTCTTTTTCTTATTTACTTATACTTATATAAGTAACTTAATTAATATTAAGCTAAAGGAATTCTTCTTAAATTAGCCTTATTAGAGTTAGTTACTAATACTTATATAAGGCTTAATAAATTATTATTATATAAGGATATTACTATTAATATAATCTAAGAGTTTATTATAAAGGAATAACCTCTTTTTTTTATTTTCTTTATTTTAATCTTTTTTTCTTATTTTTATATTTAAAATATAAAATATAAAATAAATAATAGTATATAATATTTATCCTTTTAATATTTACTTCCTTATATAAATTAGAAAAACCCTTTTATCTTTTAGTATTATTAGTATATCCTTTTATATAATAGTATTAATAGTATTACTCTTTATCTTATTAGCTACTTTATTTATAAGCTCTATTAAGCTAGGTAAATTACTAATAATAAAGGGAGTTTATATAATCTCTTACTTAATATTAAGCTTTAAATCTAATATATTTAGCCTTTAAGTTATTACTTTTTTTATTAATAGCTTTATTTTATAAGATAAAGCTTATAAATTAGTATAAACCCTTTTTACTATATATAAACCTATTATTAGTTACTTTTAATTATCTAGATATATTATTAAAAGATTAATTATAATCTTTTTATTTAATTAATTATACTTAAATACTATTAAAAGCCTTTTAATTATTATTATTTACTAAATACTAGTATAGTAATTAATAATACTTAAAAGGGATTCTAGAATAATTATAACCTTAACTTCCTACTTTTTATCTAGTAATACTAATAATATAGAATTAATACTATTTAATATAATTAATAATAGTATATTTTTATATAACTAGTATTTAAACTATAAATAAGTATATTATTATAATATATATTTATTAATATAGTTTAGATTAGATATTATTTAGGGTATTAAAATATTTTTAATATATCTATTTTTAATTATAGTATTAAATAGCTAAAGTATAAATATAATACCTTTATTATTTATTTTTAACTAAGTTATAATAAAACTAGCTTATTTTACTTATATACTATTTAAAATAATACTTTATATTATAACCTAACTATTAATAAAAAGGCTTTAAAGTATAACTTAAATTAAAAATATATCTATATTATTTATTAAGTTAAGTATAATAAAGTCTTTATTATTAATTATAATTAACTTTATACTTAAAATATTATAATTACTTAGAAAAGGCTTTTAAATAGTTTCTTCTATAGGTAGTAGTAATTCTTATATAAATAGATATAATATTAAGTAGTAATAAAGATATATATCTTAGTCTAGATATTATTATATTAACTCTTAATATTATATATTTATCTTTAAGTAGTATTTTTTTATTATAATAAGTATTAATATTAATTAAGGAAAAAAGGTTATATAAAGTTTTTTCTTTTATATATAAACTATTATTACTTATATTTAGCTATAATATTTAATAAAGTATTAATAAATATACTTAAATATATATTTAACTATATTTTATTTAAATCTTTACCTATTTAATAAATACTATAATAATTTATTACTATTATACTTATATAATATTATATATATTTACTATATTTAATATATCTTTTTATATAATAAAAGAGTATAGTTTAGTTATAACTATTATTAATTAATAATATATATAAATAATATTATATAATACTTTTTAAAGAGTATTAGTATACTTAAAAGGAGTATATATAGTTTATATATATATTCCTAACTAGCCTTTAAAGCTAAATATAGTTAATAAAGATATAACTATAATTTTAATACTTTAAGTAAACTATCTTATATTCTTTACTATAAATATAGATAATTATTACCTTAATATTCTAAATATATAATAAATTTAATAATTAGCTTTATTTATAATTATATATTAGTATTAAATTTAGTTAAAATAGGTATATAAGTATAAACTATTTATATATAATATTAAACTATTTAAATATAAGAATATTAACCTTTATAAATATTTAAACTATTAACTCTTTAATATTATTAAACTAAGTTATAAAAGCTATAATAACTAATAATATTATATTTATAATAGTAATTAATATAATAAAAAGAGTTATAGATTTATAAAATATAATTCTACTAGTAAATAGTATATATAGCTTTAAATTATATTCTATATTATATAAATGTAGATATTAATATACTAAAAATAATTATATACACTCTTAGCGTATGTCTAGTATGTAAACCCTGATATAAGTATGTAAAATGCGTTTTAGCGACAACTTACCTATAGGCTGCCGTAGAGCTCTGGAGGCTGACGGTATGGACGTTGTACGGCGTCATGGCCAAGTTGATACGCCCGATAAGGCCGCGACAAGGTTCACGGCAGGCTGAATTGTGCACAGTCACCGAAAAGGAATTTGTCCATGCAGCGATATTTCACGTCTATTGTATCAGTTGAGGTTTGCCAGTAGCGCACATATCTTGCATTGATTCCCCAAGTACCCGACTACCGTTCCAGGATCTTCAACCACAACCTGGCTCATGTGATGCAAAACAGACTACCGATACATGCTACTATGAAGTCCAGATACTCTTCTCAGCCCCCAAGATTTGAGGTGGGAACTACAAAACTTTAAGGGCGGCAAGTATTTGCTATGCTGCCTGTTTTTCTCCGTTCTGCGGGATGCAGTCAATGACGTATGGGTAAGGGTTGTAGCACACTGTCCCTTCCGGGCACCAGCCGTCAAACTCGATGGAATATCAGTAAATGTCTCTAATAGTCAGATATCCCACCAAGATGCTTACCTCCCAGTGACCTTTGTCGCAATACAGCTTGGATTGGTGGTCGCGCGAACAAAAGTGCGTCCCCGGCTTACACGGATCATCCTCCCATGCGGCGGCGGCAACGGACGCCAGAAGAACACCGACGGCGAGATACTTCATATTCACTGGTTGCTCGCGAGAAGTAGAGTTAACGAGGGGAGTTTAATATCCCAACGGTCGATGACTTGGTGCTCAAAGATGAGAGAAAACGCATGAGCAGAAGTTGGGACAGAGAGGGCAGATATACACGTGTCATGCCTGGACTGCATGGCCACTGTCCCGGTAGCCGTCCGAGAGCTGATAAAGCTGAGTTCTCTCCTCTTGTACAGGGTCACACGATTAAATGAGTGAGCAAACTCGTATTCCCCTATGCTGGGTCGACACGCGCGTCATGTTGACCAACGACAGCTCCAATGAGTGTCGGTAGAGAAACGCCGTACTTTTCCGATGTCGCACTGCGTTTGCGGCGCTTTTTGAGGCGCAGATACCGGCAAGTTGTCCGTAACTATCAGGCTTTTTGACATTCTCAAGGTTAGGAATGGCACTCGTTGTGAAACTTTATCCTGCTCATGTACCTGTGTTGTACACTCGTGAGCAAGGATACGACGGCAAGATATTCCCATACTTGAGATGTATACTAAAATAAAAGAGTTCTTGGGTGATAAAATACAATATGGGGTATGAACGCGCCAAAGACACAATTATATGGCCGTGGTCAGCCCCCAGCCAGCTTTGCACACACGGCTGGCCACCAGGCAAATACTAGATGCAATGAGCAGGCCGCCACACCATCCAACGAGCCCAACCCAGCTCCCGCCATTGCCGGCGATGGCTCCAGCAATGGGATTGCTGACAAGCACGCCGCATCCCGTCGTGACCAGGGTCATGCCTATGCGTTTACCAATTTTGCTCTTGTCGTCGGACATTGCGACGATGCTCGCGCCGGGGAGGGCCATGAAGGCGCCCGAGAATATGCCATAGAGGACGGCAAAGACGACAAGGCCGACCGCGGAGCGGATCGCGCAGACGCAAAAGGTTAGTGTGGCGGCCAGGAAGGCGACGGTGGTTTGCGCATTGATGGAGCCAACTTTGTCGGCATAGTAGCAGGGGATGATACGCCCGGGAAGCGAGCTAAGGTTAAGAATAACGGGCAAGTAGAGAGTCGGTCGATCGGACAGGGACAGATCGGTACGGGCGACGGCGAAGAGCTGAATGTAGGAATATACAATGTAGATCCCCATGAAGCCGAATGTGAGGCCGGTGTTGAGAAGGAGATATGGGACATCGCGGAAGGCGGTGGCGTCGAAGAGTTTTCGGTCGCGGCGAGGGGGCGCCTTGGAACGCATGAGCAGCGCTGGGATGACGGAGGTGACGAGCAGAATGAAGCCGAGAATGCGGCAGGCCCAAGAGAAGCCGACTCGGTCAAGCAGGTGGGGGAAGGCTATGGGGATGACGACACCGCCTAAAGCACGCGGTTAGAGTGATTTGGCTTTCGAATTCATCTTTGCAAGCCCGCTTACCGATGGCACCGCCGGCAGACGACGCGCCCATGGCCAGGGCCGTCCTGGGGCCAAAGTGCTGGGACACGACGGCGGGGGCGACCAGGTACAAGAGGCCGAAGCCAAGACCCATCATGACGGCCTGGGTGAGGAAGATGTGCCAGTACAGGGCGCTGATGCTGAGGAGCAGCATGCCGGCGACGATGAGGGCGCCGCCGCCCTAGAGCAGCGCCCGGACAAAGCCGGCGTCGAAGAGCGCGCCGGCAGCGAGGCTGACGACGAACATGAGAAAGGCCTGAGTAGACCCGATCCAGGCAATCTCGAAAGAGGAGTACCCGTCCTTGGAGAGGTGGACCTGGTAGAAGGTCTGGAACGCGCCGTTGGAGTTCATCATGCCCCTGTGGTGTTATTGGTTGCTGAGAGAGCGGGACGAGGGAAATGGTGATTTACCATGTATTCAGATTGATGCAGAAAGCACCGAGGACTTGCAGCCAGGCGCGCCAGTCTTCGTTGGGTGATGGAGAGGCATCGAATGTTGGCTCTGTCGTGGCTCTCTCCGACGTCATTGGTGGCAGGATAGGAGGAGCGCCGGATAGGGGGCGCAGGAGAGGGAGCGCAGGATAGGGAGAGGTGGGAGTAAAGATAAAGTTAGAATTGGTTGGTAATTTTAAGTAATAAGCATGAGGGGTAATTATAAAATCAGGCCTCATGGCAGCACTCGTTTGTAGATGGTGCAATGGCACAGTGGACAAGGTGGCAGCTTGCAGTGTCTGCAGGCGCTGGAGCCAAGACCCGCTACCGTACGAGATTAGGTGAAGCGCTGCGAAAATGACATAGTAGGGATCATGTCCAAGATATGTCGTTGCGTAACTGCCATATTCTCATTGTCACACCTGCCGAGAGTCACCTGCCGAGAGAGAATTCTCACGACAACTTGAATACTTTGCTGATAACAAACGGCTCAAGCTCAAGGTTGGCCTGAATGCATCTCTTGGCCCCGCCGCCACCATCTTTTGGGGCCGATTAGCGGTTCTTAGGTCCGTAGGTGCATACCATACACAAACACAGCCAAATTCCATCCTCAAAAGTTGTAGCAAAATGTGTGAGATAGATTGTTCTTCTCTCATTTCACTGACTAGTCTACTCGCGTCTCATATAGATTCGCCGTCCTAGAGCAATGGCTGGCACGCTCACTCATCGCACACACGCCACCTCGCCCACCTCGTCGATCCGGAATCCACAGCGATCGGCCACTAACGCTTTTCTCTGGCTCATGGGGGCTTTTGGGGCAGCAGGCCCCTGTACAGCTTTGAAATATCTATAACGTGTAGCTTCGGGTCGTAGCTCCCTTTGCTAGCCACGGTCCAACGTTTTTACCTACGTGTGAGCCACCGTCCCCTTCAGCTATATCACCTTCCTCGTCTGAGCTTGATTCATCAGCAATCCACTCATGTTCACGGATGGCTTTCTCAGCAACAGGGTAACCATCTGCGTCCCTTAGCCACGTGAACATACTTCGCGTCATTGACTCAGAGCAATCCCCATCGCGATCAAGCTTTTCGTACGGGACCGTCCCTTCACCACCCGCTATCTTCATCAATGGTTTGGTATTCGTCCACGAATCCGCAGCCCCTTTCTGAAATATTGTAGTCTTGTCCATACAGTCCCACGATATGCCCGTATATCGTAAACCATGCTCACCAGCGCAACAGGCGTGCAGCTGCACGTCTAGGATACAGTCTTTGAGCGCAATGAAGCCAAATGGCGAAAATGGTACCAGGGGCGGTGAGCAATGGTACTCGCTTTGCGCTAGGAACATCAGTCGCGCCTCGTCAGCCCGAGTGATTTCACCCTTGGAATGCTCGACAGAAACAGGCTTCTGTATAAATGAGACAAACGTGCCCGTCCAAGCAGCCGCTTGTAAATCGATGAGCCATGCAGCCGGTCTTGCCCACCTCATGATATACGGATGCACGTCCAACAGTATGGCTCCTAGCCAGAGAAAGTCAAGATGTGGTGATTTTTGCATCAGCATATGCGCAAGGACTGCAGGTTTCTGAGCGGATGGGGCATCTAGAACTGCAAAAGTCCCTTGCAACCATGCGCCGCAGATGTTGCATGGTAGGTCCGGCTCGATAAAGCTGCTATTTAAAATGGACTGCATGCCTATGGTATTGCAGCTCATAGTGAGTAGCTTGTCGAGCTGCTGCTTATCTCTTCCCCAAGGTGGCTGTCCGTGGCTCTTCATGGGCGGTACGCCATGTTTGGCAGGGAAGTGTGGACGCGCCCAGTGAACAGATTTCGATATTCGATGTCGTGTTGGTAGAAGCAGGGCGGTGGCGAATGCTGCGCAACTCTGGTCGTAAATGCCGTGATAAGCTACATACGCAAGGATGTAGCTACTCGCTGTGGCGTATGATGCTGGAGCATGATTGTGCAGGGTCGCAGGTTTGCTTTTGAGATGAATTGACATGCCTGGCATTTGAAGGCTCACCGACCATGGAGACTTGAGATTTTGCGTATTATGAAGAATGGAGGCGTCCCACCCCTCGTCTGTAGCTAAAACAGCCTCCCACCATCGCAACGCGTGGTCAGTCATGTCGCCTAGCTGTACAGGAGTGCTATCACAGCGTATTGACTCGCAAGTCGGGAATAATGGTGCACGGCTGTTCGTATACTCCATAGTAGCCCCAGGAATGATCTCTGCCCAGCGCGCAGAAAGGACATACGCCCAAGCAAGAGTGAGAATTGGTATATGGTCGCCGTGCTCGCCAAATTGGTTCCAGGGTGTAGTTTGGCAGCTATCCTCAAGGTGGACACGAGTTGCACAGGTTGCTGTTACCTGTAGCGCCGTCTTCATTGTCAAAGATGGCAAGTCACAGTTCTTGTCGGCTGTTTCCCAGACTGTTCGTCCAATTGCGTGTAGAACGCAGGTCGATCTTCTGTCCAACTCCAGCTGTGGAATTATGCGTGGATGGCTTGGGAACGCGTTCGCCATGTTTGAAGACGGAAATTCCAGTGGACTGTCAATGGCACGATGGTAAAGTTCAATCCATGTTTGGTACCCAGTCGCATACACGCGCTTGAATGTCTCATCGTTTGGTCGCAGTGCGTCCTGCATTCTGTTCCGCGCTGGATGCAGGGCGTGGGCAGAAGTTGGCGTGGGAGTCGATTGCTGTGACAGTTAGGTCCTGAGCATGGTTGGAATATTTAGTTACTCACACGCCTCTTACTTAAGCAGCGGCGCCACCGCTGCGCCACAGCGAATTGACAACGGTGGCTGTATACGACATCACCGTGCCACCGCGCGGCGAAGCTTGTCACACAACAATAAATCCACACAGATATTGAAATATGATCACACTTGAAGTAGCACATGCTGTAGTGCTCCATGAAGGAGTCACACCTGTTACTTGTAGATGCAGGCCAAGCGGGATATGGCCTATCAGCGTGGGCTACTAACCGCTGAACGAAAAGAACAACAAAGGTGTGCAACAGCCGATCATGGTGGTTAAGAGCCTATATAAGGGCAGTTGTTTTGCACCGCCTGCAAACCGCACCAGAATCACAGCAACCTTCAAATTTCACGTCTACTCAGGTATACAATTAATTCACGCTTATGACGGGACACTCGCTAATATATACTAGTTCGCACGCACGGCTTGCTTCTATCATGTTTACCAGTTCCAAAGCTGAAGGCGCCTGTAATGTTTGTGGGCACTTTAACGCAGTACACGAAAGCAACGTGTGCATTGTTAAACGATGCCGGAAGATGATCAAAGTCTGCGGTGCTATTGATCATTGCGTTATACATATGAACGGTCGAGCTGAACAGAATATGGGAGGATGGGTGGTTTGCAGGCCTTGTCCCGATCATGGGCGTCAAAGCAAGAACGTTGACTACAGTGAGTTCCCTGTCGTCAAGAAGGACGAGAGTGGAAATCTGGTCATCGTGCAATATGGCGTTGGGGTCTGAATCGCGGCCAAGTTTACCAGTTTTCGGGCCACCAGATGACTCAACTGAACTGAAGTCAATTCAATTTATTTACGTCTAACTGGGACTGTCGTTATATCAGTATAGATGCATTCACTGAGTACGTTTCACTGAACGCACTGAGGCGACAAGTCGCCTCGGTGTCCATATGGCAATGTCGTGTATTTCATTTTCTCACCGGCTTAATGCATAGTGATGTGTGTTTCATTTTCTCACCGGCTTAATGCATAGTGATAACGTGATATTACTTGGCTGCTCAGAGATGCATTGCGAGTGACGCTGGCATTCCAAAAAGACGTCACTATTGTTGAAAAGCGCCGAGACAGATGACAATTCGAAGACCTATCGACGTTCTCGTGCATAGAGCTAGAACCCTGCATTGATCGATCATTTGAAGGAGCATGTATAGGACCTGGTGCTGCTTGGTAGAGGCCAGAAGGAATGATTATCAGCCATACTCATCTACGCTGGACCACATACAATCCGATAAGCTTCGTTTCTACCTACGAACAATACCTTCGCAAAATTATGGTCGTTCTATTGGGCAGTACGAGTTGCTAAGCGGTCCATTGCAAGTTGCAACGCTCACGGGCGCCGCTCAACACAGCCTGTGGCAGCTTACAATCTCTCCCTCTGTAAATGGCAGACCAAGCTCCAAACAAACGCTAACAGGAAGGCAGCAAAGCCCAACCGTCACCCACCGAAACAAAGACGCTATTTAGGATGCGGTGGCTGGTCATTCTGCGGTGCAACCATGCCACAAAGCGCAGCGCCTCACACGCCCGATACCACGCCAATCATTGCTCCAGACAGCTGCGTGAACACTGAACAATCATTCACAGTGACAAGGAAGCCATGGCTGTCCTATACGCATGGGCTGCGTGATCATAGCGGCGCTACCAGGGGCGACTCTTGTGCCCAAATTACAACCAGACCACAACCAGTAATGCAAAGAAGCTTCGCTAAATCGACCGTTGACTTTTGTGCTCTGCCCGTATCATTTGAGTTTGCGCCGGCACGTCGAGAAATGCTTTCAAGACTGTTCCATGAAATATATAGCCCTACCAAAATAATTTCAATTCTGAGTGCACAAAGCATTCGTCTCGTGTTAGTCTGGAAGCCGACTTTGTGCTCATCGCCGCTTCTATTCCAACTTTACGACTGATTTCAAGACCAAAAGAAAGAGACGACCGAGAAAGCTCCAGCCATCGATTAGCGCAGAATTGACAAAATATGCATTTTCCTTTTGAGGAGCTCGATGATGACGCGACGCACTGCATGGGGCCACTTGGAAACAATGGGTGATAATACCGACAACTCGACGTATCAACCAAGCATTCCCTCACACAGCGATAAAATTCCGCTCCAGGAAGTGGACACAATTCGTCGGGATATTACCGTTGCTGTTTCATATCGTGAGTTGGTCAGCTCAACAGCAGGAAGGCACTCGCTGCGAGTACTGTAGGTCGGCCAATTCGGCGTGTTCGAGGTGGCTGGCTTGCTGCACATAGCTTTCTGGCTCTATCTATGTATCTAGCCAAGAGTTTTATTTTGTAAACAGCACCTTTGATCTGTAATACATATGTCTTGCCTCATATTATGTGCAGTTGACGTCAGGGGTTGTTTTAGTATGGCACTCTGATCCAGCTGGTAACTGATGTTTCCCCACCTTAGTACGACCTAATTCACTTCACTGTAAGCGCGAGAGGATACTGAATAGGCTGTATTACGTGCCCTATTTTTCTGTTCTTTTCTCAACTCTTAACCAGGTACAGGGTACCGCCGAAAGCCTTACTAATCTTCCTGCTTGGGAAAGCCCACCAAAGTGTCCACCGCCTTTTTTTCCAAGTGGCAGAAAGTTGAATCTTTTTCCACCCTCACACGACAGTGGCAGATTTCTCAATCACTAATCGACAACCACCTGCGTAACCGACAAGATGCCGTCGACTCACAAGAAGGAAAAGCCATGGGATACGGACGATATCGACAAGTGGAAGATTGAGCAGTTCAAGCCCGAGGACAACCTTGGTGGTACTTTTACCGACGAGTCGTCTTTCATGACACTATTTCCCAAGTACCGCGAAGTCTACCTCAAGGAAGCCTGGCCGCTCATCACCAAGGCGCTCGAAAAGACTGGCATCGCCTGCACCCTGGACTTGGTCGAAGGTTCGATGATGGTCAAGACGACCCGCAAGACCTTTGACCCTGCCGCCATCCTCAACGCCCGCGATCTCATCAAGCTGCTGGCGCGCAGCGTGCCCGCGCCGCAAGCCGTCAAGATTCTCGACGACGGCGTCGCCTGCGACGTAGTCAAGATCCGCAATCTCGTCGGCAACAAGGTCCGCTTCGTCAAGCGGCGGCAGCGCATCCTCGGCCCCGAGGGCTCGACCCTCAAGGCGCTCGAGCTGCTGACCGAGACGTACATTCTCGTGCACGGCAACACCGTCTCCGTCATGGGCCCGTACAAGGGCCTCAAGGAGGTGCGGCGCATCATCGAGGACTGCATGGCCAACATCCACCCCATCTACCACATCAAGGAGCTCATGATCAAGCGCGAGCTCGCCAAGGACCCCGAGCTCAAGAACGAGAGCTGGGACCGCTTCCTGCCCAACTTCCGACGCAAGACGCTCAGCAAGCGCCGCACGCCGCACGCCATCACCGACAAGACCAAGAAGACGTACACGCCGTTCCCGCCCGCCCCCGAGAAGAGCAAGGTCGACAAGCAGATCGAGACGGGCGAGTACTTTCTCGGCAAGCAAGCCAAGCTGCAGGCCGCGCGCGCGGAACGACAGGAGCAGCAAAAGGAGCGCAAGGTGGAAAAGGCCAAGGAGCGTGCGGCGGATTTCGTGCCCCCCGAGGAGGGCGGCGAACGCCCCAAGAAGAAGAGAAGGAAGGCCGAGTAAGCGGCCGGCGTGGAGGGAATATGGAAAAGTTGGGACTTCTGCTTGCGTTGGGGGCGTTTTACGGGTTGCATCTTGTACGTTACAGCGTTTCTGGTATATCATACATTTTACCACTTCACGGGCAAGCTACGGCGACGCATACCATGCATGTCACGATGGAGAGTGAATCCTATTGCGGGCGAAGGTCAGACCTCCACTGACTGCTTGTGAAAGGTGACGTGTAGCTCTCGAGCTAGACCGCCGCCAACTCCGTGACTGCAGTGTTGAGAATGATTCAGGAGATCTAATTTCGGAGACACTCTAGGGCCACGCTGATTCTCCGACTTTGTATACAGCTGCATGGGCCGTCTCGTATTGTGAGGCCGGCATGTAGTCTCACTACGCCCTCTGTACGAGACGCTGTGCACGTTTTTCTGGCTCCAGCTTATGGCCCTCTTCGGAGAAGATGAGGCACTCATATCCCCCAACGGCCCCATGAAAGTTGCGATAATCGAGCGAGCCGTGGCCCCATGGCCCTGGATTGCCACAAAGGGACTGCCGTCATCTTCTGTCGTGGATTCCTGTGAAACTCCGACAACGCAATTTTCCTGCCGTGTAGCCTTAGCCAAGACCTCAGCTCGGGCTGAACATCTCAGCTCTACCCGGAGAATGCAGTACCCGAAACTGGGAAATGTGCTCTCGTGTTGGGAGTCGCTACTTCATATACCGTGAACGTCCACCCCAAAAACCACGTTCTTCAATTTTTGATACAACCTGATCTAGGCAGCCTTTCTCAAAGTGTCTTCCGGATAATTCTTGTTCTACCAATACCCCACCGAGGTTTTATTTCTTGAGCATCTGTCTTGATGAAGCTCCTCACGCTCATCGTGGCCGCTCTGGCATGTGTCACGACAGCGTCCCCCCCACCACCAGCACAGTGTGTGCGCGGGACCTATCGGTGCCTGGTTTCCCGTGATGGTTGGCAGTTCTGCAACATCAGAGGTTTCTGGGAGGTAAGTATTTCTGGCCCCATTGTCCTGATTTTTTTTTTGCTGAGAAACTCGGCAGCTTGGAGGGTACTACGAGCGTGGGTGTTTGTGCATCATGGACCGGAGTGGGCATCCCATCTGTGAAATACGGAAGTAATGACGATTGAGCGTATGTGTTCTTTATTCGCCTTCTCATCAGACCAACCCGGGTCTAGTTACACTTACACGACACAACAGCCATCGACAATCCGCTGAAGCCGCCTTGTTAGTCCCAGACCAATCACATCCACTCTGTCGTGTTTTTTTTTCATTTTCTTCTGCCGTCGTTAGAGAAAAGTCTTGACGGGGAGTTTGGTCAAACCTTGAGGTAGCTGAATTGCTGATTACGACATACGCTGTATATCTAAGTCGATATCTTCCGTCTCGAACTCTTGAAGTATTACTGAAGCTAGTTCCACCTAGTTCAGAACTGCAATGTACAAAGATGTCGGGATGACAATAAAACTCAACCCTTCCAATAGCCCAAGACAATTTTATGGATAAAAACTGAATATAAACCAATTTTTTTTTAGCCGCTGTCTCTCTCCCTGCTCGTCAACGGTACCTACACAGCTTGACTGCTGGAGAGCCGCAAGGTACGTACTTTTTTGACCCGCACGGACCAATCAGGATTCAGTTCCTGCGCGACCAAATATTTCCTCCCAAGCCATCATCGTAAGAGCTTCACCTCCCGTCCTTTGCCAGTTCCACGCCACACACAACCCCTCCTCCCGAAAAAAATGTCAAAAGCCAGAGGCGCCGGCGCCGCAGCCGACCAGATTGTCAAGTTGATTGTCGGCGCGGGCCAAGCCTCGCCCAGCCCGCCCGTCGGTCCCGCGCTGGGCAGTAAGGGTGTCAAGTCGATGGATTTCTGCAAAGTGCGCCCCCCTCCCAGTGTCCGCTGCCTTCCCACACTCTCTAATAACGATTGACTCGCTTTTGACTAGGAATTCAACGCCCGCACAGCAAACTACATTGTCGGCACGCCCATGCCGTGCCGCGTCACCGTCCGCGCCGACCGCTCGTTTACATTTGACATTCGCACGCCGCAGACGTCGTGGCTGCTGCTCAACTGCGTCGACACGGCGCCCAAGAACAAAAAGGGCCAGCGCCGCGGCGCGCAGAACCCGGGCTCCGAGGTCATTGGCGCCGTCAGCCTCAAGCACATTTACGAGATTGCCAAGATTAAGCAGTCGGAGCTGCGGCTCTCGGGCCTGTCGCTCGAGGGGCTCTGCCGGTCTGTCATTTTCCAGGCCAAGTCGATTGGAATTGATGTTGTCGCGTAAGGGGATACGAGAAGGAGGTTGTATACTTTTGGGAGGGAATGGGTATGAGTTTGGATCATGAGCGGCGGATGGGCTGCTGCGAACAAATTGCCTGCGAGTACTGTCTCGCGGCGCTGTATTATACTACGGATAGAACGACTTTGTGCGCAAAGTCATGTACAAAACAAACAAGCGATTCTTGACCATGGAAGTGTTACAATTCTTGACTATCCTACAATGTGCCCCTATCAAGGCTCCTCCTTCACGTGCGGTATACCATTTAGCCTCCTCCCATCCTCCAGCTTAACATGTGGTATATCCTCCAGCTTCCCCCCGTCCTCGTCCTGCAGCTTGGCCGCGTCCCGCGCCGCCCTGCCCAGCGCGAGCTTTTTCCGATCCGCGGCCTTACACAGGCCGCTCAGGCCGACATCGCACGAGCCGCAGCGCTGCCCGACGGGCACGCACACGGCCTGGCCGAGGCCGACGAGCAGGCCGTTGATCTCGCGCCAGCGGTCGCGCGGCAGCCACGACTGCAGCGCCAGCCGCGTCGCCTCGGGGTTCTTGGTCGCGTGCCACCCCCACATGTTGGTGATGCGGTGCACGTGCACGTCGACGCCGATGCCCTCGGTCTTGCCCCAGGCGGCCGACAGGCAGAGGTAGCCCATCTTGGGGCCGACGCCGGGCAGGGCCGTGAGACCCTCGATCGTGTCTGGTATATCGCCGTTCCACTCGTCGCGTAGTATTTCGGCCGCCTGTTTGATGTATCTGCCATTGTGAGCGTCCTGTATGCGTGGATGAGTATGTAGAGACGACGTACTTGGTCTTGTTGTTGTGGAATCCAACAGCCCAAATCATCTTGTTCAGCGTATCCGGGTCGACGGCTAGAATATTGTCCAAATTCAACCCTACTGGCGCGCCAGGCTTGTGTGCCGGCAGCTCCGTCTGCAGCTTCCTCATCACCACCGCATTGACCGTGTCCTTGGTCTGGCTCGACATCATCAGCGCAATCAGCGTGTGAAACCGCTGGTCTTTTTCCGAGCACCCCCGGTCGGCGAGCCTCTCGCAGCCCATGGTATCAACCGCCGCACCGTACGCCGCGCCGCCCGGCGCGCGCATCTTGCGCACCAGCGCGTACATCTCCTCCCAGTCGGACGGCGGCGCCACTGTTGTTTCGCCAGTCTCCGGATCGACCGCCGGGCGCGCCGGTGTGCGCCGCTTCGGCGCGCGAGTCTTGGTCGGGGCGCGGATCGGGCTGGTGTTTTCGAAGAGCTCCTCCTTGATGAGTTTTACCGGCGACTCGGTCGAGAGCTTGCGGCGGCGCTTGGCGGGTGGCGATGCGGCATCTTCAATGTCGGGGGTGCCTTGGCCGTTGCCATGGATGGGAGCGTAGGCGAAGCGCGACAGCGACCGCGTCGTTCGACGAGGTGTGGCGGTGGCAGCGGCCTGGTCGAAAAGGAGCGCCGTGTCGCGCGACACTCTTGAGGATCGCATGGCCAACCTATCGTGTGTGTTCTGCAGCGGCAAACAGGGGCGATCGTGGCGTGAGATCCTGAAATCCAGCGATTTCGGCAAGTGGAGAGATTGGCCAATAGCGTGGCAGCTGATGACCAAGGCCGCTGAGATTGGTCACAACCCGTACGGAAGAATTGAGATTTATGCATTATTATTGCTTTTGATCTACCTTGAAATTCGATAGCCTGTAGCCTAATATTAGAAGTAGTTAGTTGGAAGCTCATAGTGCGGGTGCAAGATGTCTAAGTAAGTACGTTTCCGGTGACCATCTCTTGGCACTACCTTACACCTGAGCTCATTGAAAAGTTGCGATACGGAGGGCTTGAAATTTTTAAAGAAATTCTTATCTCGAGAAATTTTACTTGCACAACTTCCCTGTCGTCCTTAAGTTTGAAACCCATGTTTAAGTATGCACTGGTCGTCTTGGCTCTCCTTACAAGCTCCCGCGACTTCGATCTAGAACCATATTTGCATAAATTGCTAGCTACCGAAAGTATCAGGAAGCTACTAAACCAATAGAATATGGTAAAGAAAACAATAATGATATCCCGAATCTGATTTGATTGTAACGTACGTCGTGATGTATTACTTTCTGTCGTGCTGAAGAGGCGGGGTACGCCACGCATATCGGGGTTGCATCACAGCTGCTTCTCGGCGACCGTAGCGGCGGGGGCTCGGGTGTCTCAATCTCCGCGCGATGATAGGCGCGGCGGCGGGGGACTCAGGGTCTGTGTGTCCGACTCCGCCCCCGGTGAGAATCCAGGGCGTCGCGAGGCGTAGCATGGTGCGCGTACCGGAGGCGGCGGCAGCAGAGATACGGCAGCCTATCCCTTTGACTGTCAGGAAGGAGCAAGCAGGTCACTTGCAGGGTTGTTAGTGAATGAGATTAAACCGCATCTAAAACTAGTTTAATTACTTTAAAAGTAGGCGATAGAAGTACTAGTAGTTCTTACAAGTATAAAATTCTTTTGCCTTATTCCGTGGGCTCAGTGGGTTGTGGCTTGCGCCACATATATAGAGTATAGGTATACTATATATACTATATACTAGTTCATAGGGGATCGTCCCTCTAGCTTTCGGGCCGTCTGTCATGAAATAATAATCTTGAATTGACTTATATGGAGACCTATTTCCAAATGTAAAGAACCTCGTTGTATTCCACTTTTCAACATAATTCACGCCATTGAACCTTCCATGCGAGTACTCTTCAACGTAATTTGCATAGAGTGTGACTGTGAACTTGGCTTTCCGCTTGTGAGCCGACGAGCATCACGACGCCTGGGACAGGGAGCTGTAGAGATGTCCAGGGATCTTGACGTAAGCGTCCGAGTCAGCACGTTGATGGACAAACGCGGAGCTCTCATCCGCGTTGTTGTCCGGGTGGTGGTAACACGTCTTGCCGATCCAGTTCACGCCACCACAGTTGGCGTTGGCAGCGCAAAGCTCAATGCACTTTTCATAGCTCTCCGCTGTGACCTGCGTGTATGGATGGCTGTTGATGGCATGCTGACAAGCGACTTGGAAATCCACGCCATTGACCGTAATAGGCTTGCCATGGTTGGCGGGGCAGCCGTACTTTCTAGGACCGAGAGGGCCTTTCTCGAGGTCTTTGCAGCTGTCGTCGGCACATCCTGCGCACGCGCCGGAGCACCCTGCAGAGTGGGCGCTCATGAAGGCTTTAGCCGCAATGGTGGGCGACTTGGAGTTGGTGCTGAAGTAGCAGTTGTTTGTCTTGGCCTCGTAGTCGACGCTCTGGCAAGCGGGCACGGCGCCACATGCTGTCATGCATGATGCGAACGACGGGTACCGGTCTGGGACGTCCTTGAGGTATGTAGTACCATGACGCTTTTTGCAAGACATGACAAAGTTCTGTTGAAACGTTAGCAAGGCATGCACTGGTTCTCGGTAGGTTCTGTCCACGTACCTCTCCGGTAGGACTTGCAAAAATCTGTCCATCCGCCTCCGGGCACGCTGTGGAACACCTCTTTGACCCGAAGTGGTCCGGTGCCGACGTGGGCGGGCTGGTAGCGTAGTGGTGGTGAACGCCAGGCTTGTGAACAGTAGAGTAGTCTCCAGGTCCATAAAACTTGCAGTTGTTCACACCTGTAGTTTCAAAAGAGACACTGTCAAGGTCAGAGAAAGGCCCTAGTGTTGCGCGAGCAGGGGAGGGAATACCTGGAACACTTCTCATCAAGAGAACACTTATCAAGACAGTCCTTGTGGTTTTTGGCCTGCGTGAAGCCTGTGACCACAGCGGCACTGGAGTCCGAACAACATTGTATATAATACCATGTGCCGTCTACTCCTTCGTAGATATGTCCGTCATCTAAGAAGTGTCAGCAACTACTTGCATGGGATCAGACTCAATCATATTACTCATGGGGCAGCTGAGATCGGTTGTCTGTGGAGGATTGGCGACCGGTTTCTGAGCTCGGGGCGTATTTGGGCAGGGCTTGGGAACCCAGATATGGTAGCCGGGGATAACCATGGGATTATCGTCCGGCTCGAGCTCACAATCGCCGGTGGTGATGTGGTACTCGGCATTTGCGCATTTCGAATCCAGAGCGCACTTTTCAGCGCAAGCTCTTAAGGAGTTAACGTTCGGGATCGTCTGGTAGCCGAGAGAGGGGTTGGCATATCCGCAGAGGAGCTCGAAAGTCCTTCCATTGCTGCGCAAGGTTGTTAGAAGTGTAAAACCAGAAGTAGAAGAATGTTACCAACATAGAAAAGAGTTTCTTATGGTCCCGATTGTTCGTACAGTCGTATTCTGCCTGATTGCCAGACGAGCTTGGTGGAGTGACAGCCCCAGAACCGGTGCCGCTTCCGGTGCCGCTTCCAGTGTTGCCTCCAGTGTTGCCTCCAGTGTTGCCTCCAGTGTTGCCTCCAGTGTTGCCTCCAGTGTTGCCTCCAG